TTTTCGGGTAAACGGAATGTGGCGGCGAAAGCCTGAATGGTACAATGCTTGGCACGGCCCGTCCTACCCTCCAACATCACCCGAACATAGACGCAGTTTTTGCCACATGCCGGAGGACATGTGCAATGTTATCAGGCAACTGACAAGTGCATAATGGGATTGAAACCCAGCCCGTCACGGGCGGTTGAACTGGAAGGCGAACGCTTAAACGACTTTCTGGAAACTTCTCCAAAATGTAGAGTTTAAGTATTGTAAAAATGAAATGCAAATGTGCGGAAAGCTTGTAGGTAGAACTTATAGGGCATGGCTGATGGGTGAGTGTGAGACTTCATGGAATTGGTAAACACGTGGGTACCCATGTGCTGCGAGTAACAGGGTGGGCTGGTAGTTCACAGATTGGGGAAATGGTATGGGCAAGACGTCTGGGAAATGTTGAGTAGTTTCTCAAATAAAAACTACACAATGCTGCTCCTTAAAGCTTCATTTTCACATCATTCGTTCCAGTGATAATATTTTGCAATTACCAATGCAACGGAGCGTGCAGGATACGAACGTTGATGAGACATTCCATTAAAAAATAAATAAATTTCTGGAAAAGGGAAACGAGTGGTTAACGCGTGGTCATGACAGGTTAGAGATTGCTAACGGAGGGAAGAGAACAGTCGCATGGATAACGAGGAGATTGGTATAGTGAAACCTTGCTCGCGAGGGCCTCTATTTTAGGCACAACCCCTGGGGTACCGGATGAATTTGGTAAGGGAAATCTTAGCCGTGCCGACGCATAACTATCAAACGGAGTACCGTTAGGGAAACCATGTGTCTGCATAATCGTTTTTCATATTCACATGCATGAGGGCGTCATTTCGAAGAATACGCAAAATTTGACACTAACTAGCCTAAGTCAACTAGCCAAGGCAAATGCAATGAAGGCTGAATAGGTTATCCCAACGATGGTGTCAGTTAGGTACCCATACAGCAAGTGTTCACGTACTTAGAAGTAAACTTGTCCGATCTTAGCCACATTTCCGAGGAAACATTGCAAGTGTTTAGGCCAATGCGCGACCTGTAGTGTTGTTTTAACTCCCAATTTCGGTATCGATTATATTTAAATGGAATGAGATCGAAAACAGTCACCCAACCTTCGAATTTCAACACATTGTGCCGGGTGGATGCACCCTTCTGATCATGAATCAACTAATAGCCAAAGCATATTCCGACGCAGAATGTTATCCACGCAAAGAAGTTTCGAAGCAAATGTTTTACAATTTTGTAACTTTGTAGCCTTTGGTCTGCCTTTTCTTGCCTACCGTTTCCATTCCATGTATGTATCTAGCATGCGCCATGCAGCATTTGGAAGACAAGGCATTGACAACGTTTTTTGAGCGTCATTTTGTTCCGACCTTGCATCGCAATCGCTGCTCCTCCCCCTAGGTCGCCGAGCTCGCTTGAGGTGTTGAATGTTCCTTCAAAGAACCGTTAGTTAAGCTGGAATCAGCATTGTTGCAGTCAAGAAAAAGGATCTTGTCTGCAGAGCAGGGGCGGATCGAGCCTGGAGTCGTGTTGGTTTTTTTTGGGGGGGGGGGGCAACCGTTCGTTGCTAGCTGGTTGGTGTGGGATCCGAGGGCCAGTGCACTTATCAGACACGATGTTTGCGCCGAGTATGACTAAGCCGCATGAACATGCGTTTTGTTTTGATATTTGAATCCCTGCTAACTTTTCTTCGTGAAGTTTCTTTCGAAACGGAAAGAAATGTTTGATACCGCACCATCAAAGTTAAAACAGACTGTGAGTAGAAAAAAACTTGTATGAAGTTCTGGGAATGTTTTGGGGGGGGGGGGCAAAACATACTCTCAGAGGTTTTGGGGAGCCATGCTCCCCCCCCCCCCCCCAGGATCCGCCTATGCGGCAGAGTGTCCACCTTTTGTTTGTTTCCTGGTGCACTCCCTAGGAATTTTGGCCTCCTTGCGGGCGTGCTAATACTTGAAACGGGTGTCATGTTTTAGAAAGGGGCCGTTTGATATATATATATATATATATATATATATATATAAACAACTCTCTACTCTCCATCCAGAATATGAGCTCCCTGGTTTATAAAGGGGGCACCCAAGTTCGTAATGGGGGAGGAAAGCTGGCTCTAGACGGTCTTGGGCCTTGATTTTGAACTGGTATAGATGAGACACCGTATCGGTGTTTTCTTACAGCAGCTTTCACTCTGGGATAGGAAGTTTACAATTTACGAAGAGGTAGTCACGAAGATAACATTGGAAGTAAGACGTCTTGCGTGGCGTGAACAATTAGACCAACGGAGCCGGACATCCCGAGATGTCCGGGTACCAACGGGTGCCACAAGACATGACAAGGCGTTGAATTGTATACTCTGAGTGGTTACTTAATATAAGATGATCCGTTGATCCAGAATTCCTTCGCCAATTCACACATAACATCGCTAACAACTTTGCTGGCATATGATGGTTCCACGACATTACTGCTACAGCAAACATTCCCACCGACAGGAGTGCTCCGACACTACTTCTACTGCCAATACTTAAGTACACGACGCAAGTGGTACCTAGTAAATGCATGCCACAAAAAAATTATACCCGACGTTCCTTTATTGCAAAAGCGTATACAACAATCGCTTATACGTGACGTTATTTCTTCCGTAAAGCCTTATACGCCACATTAATATTACATGACAAAATTAGTACTTCAAGCAATTAAACCCGACATTACTTCTACTGCAAAAACGTATGCAATCATTGATTGCACAAGACATTACTTCTACCACAAAAACTTGAACTCGACATAAGTGGTACATCAGAAAGCTTATACTTCAAAAGCTTATTCCCGCCATGGTCTCCACTGGGAAAATATATTCCACCATGGCTTATACACGGCATTGCTTTTACTAAAAAAACTTATTTGCGACACTAGTGCTGCGCGACAAAACTGAAGCTTAATAAATGTAGATCTTTAGTTATTTCTACTGCAAAAAATGTACCGTCTTCACATATACGCAGCTTTAACTCTACTGTTAATGCTTGCCGTGGAGGGCGACATGCGTGTGAAAACCTGTCAAGGGTGAATGAACAATGCACAGGTTATGAAGGAATCCCACCTTGGCAATGCTGAAATTAAATGTTCAAGAAATTGAAAAGAAAAGTTGTTCGTTCAGTATGGTGCGTGGTTTTGTCGATTTGCAGTGCTTGATGCATAAGCAAAAGTAAAAGCAAAAGCTAGCAAAAGTTCAATGACAGACGGAGCTATTTTAAGTATTAGTTCTGTGGTGTAGCACTAGTGTCTTAAATAGGTATGCATATATATATATATATATATATATGCATATATATATATATATATGCATGTATATATATGCATATATATATATATATATATATATACAATAGAAGCAATGTCCGTATAATTAAGGACTTTCTAAGTTTTTCAGAAAATAACATGACGTATATGAGTTTTCAAAGCACCCGTTCTATCGTGTAGCACTCATCTTGTGTGTAAGTTTTTGCAGAATAAGCAAAGTTACGTATAAGTAAAGTCTGCACAAAGATCAAGTTACCAGAAATTTATGCCTGGTCTGTGTAAGCTTTTGCAGTAAAGGTAACGTCGCGTATCACTATTGCCATAGCACTCCTATCGGTGAGAGTGTATGCCGGCGCTCTTATGCCGTAACGCATATGAGAGTTCATCAAAACTCGCAATGCTAATATAAAGAGTCAATTTTATATTAATTTGAAACACCGTATCGCCCTTTGCTGATGTTAGTCCAGTGCACGGCAAAACACGATAAATGATTCAAGGCCTCAGTCTTTCTCGGTTCAGGCCACTCAGTCCTGCGCTAGAAAGGCTAAAACAAATGAAACATTCTTTTTTAACACGAACGCTGTTCATGATATTGATATGAGACCAAGATAGAGCCACACCTCAGGCCTTTTGCTATTACCCCATACGTATTTATTTCATTAATTATCGTACCCATGACGGTCTAGGTATTTTTGCACTGTCGAGGTTGTTTGGCGAGGTCAGAAACAACCGACTGACAGAGACTGAGGTAAACTTTCACAGATGTCTAAAGTTTTCTGCAGCATTCAGGCGTTATAGATCCTACAAACTCCCTGTTTTTTCATGTTTAACTGCCCATGCGAAGGCGGTACAGTTGCGGGATAGGAGCCAAAGCTGCCACATTGTTTAGATCCGCTAATAATGCCTCACCTCAAACGGTAAATCTGAACGGTCGCACCTGACCCGAAGGCAAACTTCAAACCAAAAGCTTTCCTAATTTGAGATATGTGATTTACGGTAAAGCCAAAGTCATAGTTCCAGACAGGTGTGAGCTAAGGTTTTATGGTTGGGGGTGAAGATGTGCTTACATCACAATCTAGAGTCAAAAAAGCCCACATGAGGGTTCTGAATAAGGCGAGGGTAGGATAGAGACCCTGTGATCCCCTGGGTGTCCACCACCCCATTCCAGATAATGCTACTTCATGGGTTCATGCGGTTGGGTTCATGAATTGCCGCCGAGACCACCAGCGAAAGGCAATCCGCTCACTCTTACGAGGCCCATGACATCATGGTGCGGTTACAGTGTACAGCATCTAGCATTACTGTCCTCGTGGCTTTATAGAGGCCTATGCTTACGTGAACTTCGTGCGAGTGGTCGACAGTTTTGCACCTGAGATCATCGCCGCCTTCTGCATCACAAGCACGGAGAGTTCTGGGACGAAGACTGCTGATGCATATCAAGAGCCAAGTTACCATCACTGCATAACAAACGTGCAAACATGCACCGGCTGGCCGTGGCCACATGCAGGCCTGGGCGGAATAGTATTCAACCTTCTGGTCTGAGTTGTTAACATCTTGGTGCCTGCTCACGTCGCGCTGGGAGCTGGAAAGACCGGCACCGAAGGCGGCCTGCGGCAATCGGAAAAACCGGCACCGGAGGCGGCCGGCGACAGCATTCGCCGCCACCTCCAGCCGAGTCGGAGAGCCTGGGCCAGGGTGGCCCGTAAAACGGCGCGCGGCCGCCGTGGTCCGCAGACGAGGCGAGATGGCCGTGCTGAGTGCCTGCCTGCTGCTGACGGTGGCCGCGCTGGCGGCGCCGGGCGTCGCCCGGCCGCTGAAGTCGGCAGCCCTCTGCCCCGGAGCCGACGGCTGTTTGGAGCGACGGCGGCGCTTCCTGCCCGACCTCAGCCTCCGCCTGGAGGACGCAGGCGCCCTGCAGGTCGACAGTGTGGAGGACGAAGACGAAGACGAAGACGAGGGGGCGGAGCTGCGGCGGCGACGATCGCCGATGCGCCGGCGCGGCAGCAAGGAAAGACGCAGAAAGCATTCGCGCGAGCGAGGGCGAGGAAGCTGCGAGGATGAAGAAGACGGAGACACGCCGGTGGACTCTGATGAGGACTCTCGGGACTCTCGGGAGTCCCGAGAGTCTCGGGAGTCCCGAGAGTCCCGAGAGTCCCGGGAGTCCCGGGAGCGGAGGCGCGGAGGACGCTCCAAGCAGCGAAGATGTCGCCCGAAGAAGAACAGCAGGGAGAGGGAGTCTTCTTCTACGAGCACAACTACAACAACGACGACCACTACGCCTACATCTACCACGACCACCACGCCAAGCACAACTACTACTCCATCCACGACCACCACGGCAAGCACAACTACTGCTCCAACCACGACCACCACGCCAAGCACAACTACCGCTCCAACCACGACCACCATGCCAAGCACAACTACTGATTCAACCACGACAAGCTCTACAACAGCATCTACAACGACACCGAGCACAGCGTCTACTACTCCTGCCGAGCCCTAAACGCTGGCTGGTCATTACGACCCAGCCAGGAGGAACGGCAAGACACGTTTGGTAGGTAATGTAAGCTTCCGTTTTGATACCGTGTTTTTATCTGTATAGCTCGCGATTCTAGTTTTTGATCCATCATTACATCGTCATTAGGCAAGCCGAGGAACACTACTGACTCATGAAAACGACGGCCTTAGGTCTATTGTTGCGCAAAGTTTATGTGACCTGTTTGTTATCCAAACATCGCACTATGAATACATAAACGGTCTCGATTACGTTTTCTGTTGTTGTCTTTTTGTCTGCTATTATTTTTACATTGCGTGTGCGGCTAACGAAATAAATGATCTTCTGTAGGTCATATACCCGCACAGGTCACAGTTGTGAAATGTGAATGACTTTATACGGCAGTTTGTTTCATACGGCAGTTACGCACCGCACGCAATAGAAGCCACAGCATTGGTACTGTCTGCAGAGGGTGTAGGTGGTCATCACACCGAGATCAAAGCTTCAGACCAAACGAGATGTGGCCAATGTTTCCTGAATGCTTAAAATCCAGCGAGGGAACATTTTTGCAACGAGACATAAAATTTAAGGAATGGACACACTAAATCGCAGCATGGAACCTTTTCAGACAGATCCATGGAGGTCGACCGGCAAATAAAGGCAAGTACATCGTGATGTGCGTTGACAGCCCACCGATGACAGATGTAACGCATCTGCACTTGCGCCACCGCGCAGTCCACGAATCTCCGCTAATATCGCGAAAAATCGAGGTTTATTTTGGTGTCGTCTTGAAGCGCTTAGGGAGCAGTTTTTCCGTGTCAAATGCCGCCTTTTTGTAATATCTTTGTTAGCAGCTCAAGACATGGCCTTCCATATGCAACAGTAAAAATATGAATATCCGCTGAGAGATAACTTGTGTTACTGTTACTGTTACTGTCATAACAGCTCAGCACGAAACTGTTGGGAGCTGCAAATCCGAAATGTTTGAGGTGAAGTACCTGATCAAGTGTCAATGGCGTGTACAACGCTATTGACTTCTTGCGTAACCAAGTTAGTCAAAATCCGAGAGACGAGAGTGGAAGACCCAAGACCCGGCCGACCTGTCCTGAAACGCATGATAACGGCTGTTCTACCCTTGACATTGTTTCCAATTCATAGTTCCGCAGCCGTGATACCATGGCCACACTGAACAACTAAATCAGTTCTTAACGGCTCTGTCTGCAGCGTAGTTATGCGCACCAAGGAAATCAAATGTAAAATCAAGCCGTCGACGTTAGCATCCTCAGTGTCTGCCTTGAGCAGTCACGTTTTGCGTTTGCTCTGTCTGAAAGCTCAAAAAGAAAGATGAACACGCGCCTGGTCAAGTGAATGTTTGGAGGAGCAACGGTTGAGCCTGATGTGTTTAAAAAAGATAAATGGTTCCAGTTCGGTCAATACAGCTTCCAGAGCCTATTGTGATGTTCCGCGCATTGTAAAATGTTATTTCCAGCGTCATGTAAAGTCACAAAATTAACAATGTAGGTGAAGGCCTCCGCGGGGACTTTGGTGTGCAAAAATTCGCGGTTTTTATTCCTGCTTCGGGTTTGTTTTGACGCTAATTTAAGTCCTAGACCGCTTCAGCTATATTTCAGCGATGTCATTTAGTAACGCCAATGTGTCATAGAAAAGTCGGCTCAATGGCCACGTTTCCAAACCAGGCGTCTCTAAAGCCCAAGCGTAACTGGACAGAATGCAAATCATACCCAAGGCAAGCTGAGCTAGCTTGCAACAAAGGTAGCCGATAGAGCCAAGAGGCCTCAGGTGGGGTCAGAATGGCTCAGATAGTCAAAATATGGCACCGAAACCAGGCAGCTGTGGGGCTGACCCGTGACGCCATGGGGATCGGGATCGATAAGCAATTCCCATCACGGATCTATTTGGGTCACTCCCATAAATTTTAAGTCAGTTCAGAGGTTTTAAGCGATTATCTGTGCCTACCAGGGAAGGCAATTTAACTCGTCTCGGTGCGAAATTTTCAATCGCTTCTTGCGCGGTGCCAGGGTAGTAAAAGTGTACTTTTTCGCCGACCAAATTTCTGGAGGCAAAATTGTCGTCAGCAGCTTAAGGTAAATCATATGACATCAATTGGTAATGAAGTCCATGCCCACTATGTCATCAGGAATCATCCTATAACCGAAAATATTTTTCATAACCGCAATCTTTAATATGATGCACACAATCAAAGCACTCAATTATACAATGTCCTTCAGCTAATGTCACGATAAGTGCCGCTACTAACAAAACAGGCGCACCTACCCTAGGTTATGGAATAGCTCAATCACCACAGCAGCTTTCTTCTACCCTCGAGACTTGCCGGGTCCTCACACTTAAATTCGATCTACGGCTGAATTTGCTTTCCTCGACCGCAACAAAGCAGCGAAGGGCATCAAAGCCAGGACGCCAAAATACATTGCGGCATTCGAACCAGTGGCAGGCGGCACTGGAGATACGTCCAATATGCGGGACTCATCGAGACCATGTCCCTTATGAAAATCGTGCGTGCGCTTCGTGCCCCATCTCGACCGTCATTATACTGTCCATCATGCCTTACGCATGCTCCAAGCCTGGCATGACATGTGTCGCCTGGTGGGTGCCTTTCGCCGTGCCCCAACAAGCAAATTGCATTGCGATTTGCTAATAGCTTCACATCAGGCTGATAGTTCTTCTCTTAACAACATACTCGCCCTAATCGGTGGGAAGATGGGCTTATGCAACGCCCCTCCCCCCCCCCCCCACCCCCCACCCCTCCATTAAGGTTTTCTGAGGATGTCAGTCTGGCATATTGTGTAGCCGCGCTCAAATCCTTGGCAGCCCCTGGGGCATCTATTGCGCGTATGTTCATGCGAAAAAAAGTCCGTAGTAATTCTGGTCTCGGAGGATGTGTTGATGTGTTTTATGATTACTGCAAGACAATCCAAGGCTGACGGGGCGGCAGGCGGCAAGCGACGATGCTGCAGACTGCGCGCGGAGGGCTGACTGTTACATCTGCAAAGCCCTACATTATAAAAAGGCTCGAAAAAGATAAAATTACATACCATGGTACTCATGATTAAACAAGGAACACGCCTCTTTCAGTTTCGTGTCTCTGCGCTGCATGGTTTCATGCATATGAAGGAACAAAGCTGGAATAGCTTGATTTTCAAGAAATTTGACCTTCGAGTTGGTCTAGTGGGGTTAGTTAGCAACACGAGCCTTTTTACCAATCGCAAGGCCTCACCAAAGACAGTTTGCTGTTGTAGTTTGCGGGTTTGCAAAAAATAACAACGAAACTCCGTTAGTTTGCAAACAGCAGGGGACCGCCCCCTCCCCTCTCAGTCCGCGTCAAGATAACCAGCGAATCAGTTTGCGGGTTAAAAGTGTTGGCTACCATCCTTTTTAATTATTTTGCCTACTCCGGTGTAAGCATTTGCATTCTAGATCATAAAAAACATCAGCTGGTACAACATAATGACAGATTTCGTTACCAACATCCAGACAACGGAAGAAATTCACGAAGCAAACCAAAATTACCCTTTGCATGCAAAGTAGCATCGAATCTAAGGATACCGGCGATACTTGCCGTGTATGGTGTAAGAGTGTCCATTTAAATTAATTTCTGGGGCCCTCCCCAGATCCCATGTTTGGTTGGGCCCCTCAGTGTCGGTTCTTTCCCCCCTCCAGCACTTCTAGCTGGAAGGTTACAAACATATGAAAAAACAAATCAAAACACAAAACCATCTTCTCGGAACTCAATGCACTGATCTTGACCCATAAGTTGCTACCTTCCCCTACACATGCATGAAAATTAGCACTTCCGTCATCATGCCATCATCACAAAAACTATGTTGATTTATACTATCAATGTGAGCTGCATAGTAGGCTGTCTGGCTTCACAATCTGTTCTTGATGTACAGAGCGATTATGCCAGGGTTTCCTCAGGACAATTTGCAATGCAATATTAACAAAAACAGCAATATTTGCGTCCATGCAAGTGTATGCTCACAAGTACAAAGAAAATTTGGATAGTATGAATGAGCAAGAGTCCCTTTCAGAAGACGCTATCATCAGCAAACAGCCAACATTGTCTTCAGAGACAACCAAATGCTAATATTTCACTAAACCCATAATACAGTTGGACCACAATACCACAAAACATCCTGCTATTTGAAGTAAAACTCTTGGTAAAAGGGATATGTCAATGAAACCTGTATGCCCCTACCCCCCCCCCCTCAATGTCTACATTTGCCACACCACGTCACTCCTCACTTTGCATTGCCTTCTCATATATCATTGTTTATCATCATTGGCTATCATATGTATTTCCAGCAACCAAGATTCATAGAAGGAAAAGTTTAAAATGTGAATAACTGTAAAAATCCTAACAAAACATTGATAGGATAATTGCATTTCAAGCGGGGCTATAGTTTTTGAAGATAGACCTAGGCAGCAGTGAAACATTATGCAAACTACCTCCAAATATGGATGTCTCCCAGATTGGCACAACTCTTCACAAACTTTGGGAGAGAGTTGGAGCCCTGAATCGAAAAGTAAACTATGTACATTCATGATAGCGAAAACAGCGAATTTACCGACCGTTCGCACCATAGGAAATATTCGGATTTGTCGCCGACCTGTCACCGAAACGAGCGCCCAACTAAAAATCGCAGGATATTTTTGTCACCGAGTTGGGATGAAACCTAAAAATATACCATGGTGCCGTAAGATACGGTAAAGAGGCTACGGAAAGGTTTGCTTGCATTGTGTGACGAAATGCATCACCATGGATGCATAATATCTATGTATGGATACTTTATGTTGGGTTTTACAGTGTGTGCTCCATTATTTCTTCGCGGCTGTCGCCGATATCTTCTGTCAAAAACATTTTTGGTACCAAGCTGCCCGTAAATAGACGCAT